TCCAACGGCGGCTCGTCCGAATACCTAAATGCACATAATATAAATGATATGAATGTTCTGTAATAAATTACATAAACACTAAATGACATAAATTATTAATTAAAATAAAAAATTAATTTTTAAATATTGTAAGTCATAATGGTTTTAATTCCTTCTGTAATATATTAATCGATCAGCAAATTGAAACGAAATACGATTTGAACATTGTGGACAATATACGTGTATGTATGTATACGAAAAGAATGATTTTAATGAAGTATCTAAAAATTTTAATAGGTAAGTACAAATCAGAAAATGATTTTATTGGACTATCAAAATAATTATGAAGGAAACTCGAGCATAATGAGCAAAAAGTTTTAAGCATTCTAGAAATTAGTTTGAGTCCTTCATAATTATTTTGATAGTCCAGTCAAATTATTTTCACCTGTACTTGTCTAAATTTTTAGATACTTGAGAAAATCATTCTTTCGTATATATATAATTCAAATTAAAATTAACAAGTAACTTTTAAAATCGATGTTTTCAGATAATGGCGATATAAATATGTATAACAAATTGTATGGTAAGAAAAATCGCAATTACAAAAGAAGAGACTCGATTGTAACTTCTAAATAAAATGAGATGGAATGTTCTATAAAAATTAGATTTTCCTTTCTACTCACGTATTTCTATGCTGTCGTGCGGAATCGAAACTCGACGTTGCGCAGACTTCCATGAGTTGTATCTTTGCATTGTTAACAATCTTCTCGGCATTTTCAAGAGCGGTGGATGTTTCGGGACTCAAGACGGAATTGGGAGGCTGCACTTCTACCGATCGGTGCGTATTAAGCTGTGATAGAAAATTTTGTCGTAAAACGCATATAGAATAACTAAACGTTGGATAAATAAAACTGTGAATGTTCATTACAATTTTTTCTTTAATAACGCGACTCGCGCGTTTACAAGACCCTCTGCTACTTCCACAAGTTGTATTCGTGACTATCGATTTTTTAGATACGACAGTTACAGGATGTCGATTCGCATTGTGTATTCTGATATCATTATCCTTCCTGCGCGCTACATTCTCCTCGTGTTTGCAATAACACGTGCGAACGGAAGTCATCTCCCCTGGAGACGTCGTAGAACAGACTCCGTCGTTGCACGTTTCTGGGGAACTCGAATTTTCCCTGTAATAAGAAAGAAATATTCAGCTGGAATAACACTTTTCTCTACGTCATCATCATCATCATATTATTATTATTATTATTATTATTGCTAATATTTACACGAATAAAATGTGCATCGTAGAAGAATGATAAAAGATAAAAAGCAATTATCAACGCAACGTCTTCAGAAAAATGTAGATACGTGTGATAATTACTAGATACATGTAGTATTAATTATCGTATTAAATGCAGCAAACTGAAGATAATAAGCTTGATAACTTTTTCAGAAAATTTAATGTTTACGCGACTAAACTTTGTATCGTAGAAGAATAATAAAGTAAAGAACAATTGTCAATGTCTACAGGAAAATGTGGACACGTGTGATAATTACTAGATATCTATCGTATTAATTATTTAAATGTGGCAAAGCGAAGATGAGCTTGATAACTTTTGCAGAAAGTTTAATATAAATATTTACGCGTTTAAAATTTGTATCGTAGGAGAGTGATAAAATAAAAAACAATTGTCAACGTCTTCAGGAAAATATCGACACGTGTGATACTTACTAGATATCTATCGTATTAATTATTTAAATGTAACAAACTGAAGCAAAGCTTGATAACTTTTGCAGTTACTAAGAAAGTTTCCGTAAGAGATGTAAATAATTGGAGTTATCAACCCAGTTACGACTACGTGTCGCGTTAGCGAGAGTGTGAAAAAATAATGCAGCTGTTCTTTCTCATGCGACAATAATGTGTCGCATGTCGTACAATGAAACATTAACAACTAAATATCCGCATGTATAGCGACTTAACATTGTCCACCAGTGTACGCTTTAAAATATGCATCAATTGGTAAGCAGCGATGAGCTCGATGAGCGTCCTTGAATTTCGCACGTATGTGGAGTTTAATCCCAATTATAATAGATAAACAATGATGAATAGATAAGCATGATTTAAAAAAAAAATCGTGAATTACACACTGCGCATACAACTACGGATGATTACTCTTAACACGACACAAAAATGAAACATTAACTTTTTAAAAAAATATATATATATGTGTGTGTATATATGACACTCCTATACTCAATTATTATTATAATATAAATAATATTAATCCTCCGCTCACAACATAGAATTTTAATTCTTCCGTCAGCAATAAGAGTCTTCGGGAAACAATAATTTTTTTATTGATCCAAATTATATAAAAATCTAAAAAAAATTCTGATATACTTATCAAAGCTTTAACAACGAGTTTTTACTATCATAGAAGTCGGATTGTATATTTTTATTTTTAATAGATAAATATTTAAAACTCGATATTAAAGCTTTGACAAGTATAGGATTTTTTTTTGTGTTTATATAATCGAGAACATTAAAAAGTTATTAATTATCTGATATATATTTCTATATCTAAGACTTCATTTCTATCTATATATACAGTGAATGCAAAAAGTATTCGTACAGAGAAAAGATTTTTTAAAAAAAACTTTATTTTTAAAAAGTAAATATTATCCAGCGAGGAATGAGTCATCGAATTGATGTCGAATCGATATCGATACGATGATTTCAACACTAATTCGACGT